TGATAAGGCTGCCTCCTTAACGCACACCTAAAATTTGTGGATTTTTATTTTAAATTCGACAAATATTCGAAATTCGAAAAGAAAAATTGACAGCCCTATTGTACACTTGATCATAACCCTGGGTTACTTAGGGTAGCTTTTCCCTGTTAGTAGTAGTACGCTTAGTAAGTGACTTTGGGGGGGGACTACTGACTACTTGCTTGATTTAAATGGCTGAGCTGTCTCTTTTCTGATCTTTTTATTTCATAGTTCATAGCACCTTTTTTTTAAAAGCCCCTCTGGATGCATTGAAATTCAGTGCATGGCTAAAATAGACACTCTACTATTACAAGTTGCACCCTACTTTCATTGTCCTACTTTAGACTGAAAGCTTTTAAATTTTATTGTATTGGAATTGTCTGTCTGATACATCATCTGCTTTCCTAAATGTTCTCTGCCTTTCTGCTTGCAGTCAATCAGAAAAAGGACAGTGAGAACACGCCAGTGAAAGGCGGAACGGTTGCTGATTTGGGTGAGTATTTTGCTTCTTATTTGTTGTGGGTATGAATGTGATATCTTGTCAGAGGAAATGTAAATGATCGCATTAACTTTGTTTACCCTCTTAGATGACCAGGAAGATGATTCACTAGCATCTGGTGGCAAGGTAGAGTCTCTTCATATTGTAATCCAGTTATATTTTTGAAAAATTTCTCTCCATTATTATATCAGATGCACAGTATTTTGTTGAAAATAGCCCTTGCACTTTAGCTATAAATTCTTTTTTTTTAAGTAGTCTATCAATATATGACTTCAGTGCCAAGCCATTTATACAGTCAGATGGTTCTGAAAGTGTTTACGAATTGTAATTGACAGGAGGAAGATGAACAGGGCAAAATGGTGATTAATCGTCTGATTGACTCGGAGGACAACGTGACTGAACAAACCCATCACATCATTATACCCAGCTATGCTGCCTGGTTCGACTACAACAGGTATCAAATCCCTTCCACCACATGTTTTTCAGTGTCCTGAGAGCTTGTTTGGATGGAAGTAGTGTTATAGACCAGTGGTTCTCAACCTTTTTGACTTGTCCAACACAATATTTGAAGACTCTTCCTCATATATGCTGTGATATTTCTTCTGGTATGTTCTGATGTAATTATGATAAAGCTGCTTTTTTACAGTCTTTTTTTTTTTTTGGTCAATATTAAATGAACTGCAATTATTTCAAGAGCTGTTTTCATTAATAAAACAATACTCAATTTTAAAATGAAATAATTACATTTTATAATGAAGTGGTTTTACATTTTTAACAAAAAAATAGTATGAATTTTAATTAGAATTATTTAACTTTATAAAATAATTGAACTGAAGTCATCCCCTTGGAAGTTTACTGAGGCCCCCTAGTGGACCCCCGCACCTTGATTGAGAACCACTGTATTAGACCAGTGTTTCCCAACCTTTTTTCAGTCGCGGCACCCTTTGGAAATTTTAACAAACTTGTGGCACCTACAAAATTAATTTTGTCAAAATATTAAAATTTCTATCTTCGATATGATAATTTGAAAAGTATAGATATTCGGTACAACAGGGAAGAACTGCAGAATATAATGTCATACAGATATTTTTTATATTATTAAAAAGTTTTGTCCATCAATGGTGTAAAAAATGACAAGTAAGCAGTCAGTAATAAAATAAGAACAAATATTTTAATAAAAAAAACAAATAAAAATTTTTCAGGTAGATCTAACAGTAGGGTTAAGATATTTCACTTTGTTTTTATTTTTTACCAATTATCCAAATAATGTTTAGTCCTAGAAAGCTATTATTATCAGAACACACGAGCATAGC